GGGAATTACAGGCGTGCGCTACCACACCCAGCTGATTTTTTGATTTACTGTAGAGATGAGGTTTTGCCAAGTTGGCCAGGCGGGTCTCGAACCCGCGGGCTCAGGCAATCCACTCACCTCAGCATCCCAAAGCACGGGATTACAAGCTGAGCCACCAAGCCCGGCTAATTTTTTTTTTGAGTTGAAGTCTCACTCCGTCGCCAAGGTTGGAGTGCAGTGGCACGTTCACAGACAGCCTAGCCTCAACCTCCTAAGCTCTGGCAATCCTTCTGTCTCAGCCTTCCAAGTAGCCGGAACTACAGGCGTGCACTACCATGCCCAGCTAAGTTTTTATGTACTGTAGAGACAAGGTCTCACTAAATTGCCCGGGCTGGTCTCGAACCTGCAGGCTCAGGCAGTTCACTCGCCTCGGCCTCCCAAAGTGCTAGGATTATAAGCTGAGCCACTGAGCCGGGCTGAATCTTTTATTTTAATTTTTAAAAGCTGCATATGGTTAGTGGCCACCATACCGATGGACACAGCTCTAGATTCTCCCATTCTGACAAAGTTTCTTCTCTAAATTCTAGTGCTGACAAAAACTTTTGTCTCAGGAATCCCAGCATGAGTAAAGTCAGACCCTCACTTAAGTTAATTTCTCCTAATTTATTTTAAATTTCATTACAATCACAACATTCCAATGTATAATACTATAATGTCAACACAAAAAGAATTCTAACATCAAGTACAGTGTTTAAAGGAACCCCAATTAGAGTAAGGCTATTTAATTTGGTTTTAAACAGCTTAAATTTGATTGAAGAGAATTCTAAGCAATGTTCCTTTGGACCTTTGATATTTTTTTTTTTTTGAGTTGGAGTCTCACTCTGTCACCCTGACTGGAGGGCAGTGGCACACTCATAGCTACTGCAGCCTGGACCTGCTGAGCTCAGGTGACCCTCCCGCCTCAGCCTTCCAAGTAGCTGCAACTACAGGCATGTGCCACCAGGCCCGGCTAACTTTTTGATTTACTATAGAAATGAGGTCTCGCCACGTTGCCCAGGTTGGTCTCAAACTGGTGGGCTCAGGAAATCCTCTCACCTCGGCCTTCCAAAGTGCTGGGATTATAGGTGTGAGCCACCATGCCCAGTCCATGGACCTTTGATTTTTTTTTTTTTTTTAGTTGGA